ACCTTCAAGTGAGTGAGGCTAGGCTTGACACCAAACCAATATTCTTCTGGTGTGATTCCTTCAAGCTTCTTTGTTGAACATCTGTTTAATATGTATGTTGCTGTCGAAACCGCTTCTCCCCATAATTCTTTGGGTAGATGCTTTCCATTCAACATGCTTCTCACCATGTTCATGATGGTTCTATTCTTTATTTCTGCAATTCCATTTTGCTGTGGAGTGTAGGGTGGCACCACCTCATGCACAATCCCTTCTTTTTCACATGATGTATCGAACTCTTTTGACACGTACTCTCCACCACCATCAGCCCTCAAAATTTTCAGCTTTCGGCCACTCTGTCTTTCGATCATAAATTTGAATCTAGAAAATACCTTGATCACATCACTTTTCTTCTTGACGAGGTAAATCCATAAATTTCGACTGTAATCATCTATGGACATGATAAAGTATTTGTTGCCTGCAATCAAATCCACCTGGATCGGACCACATACATCAGAGTATATGACTTCCAAAATTGCCTTCGACTTTCTTCTTGCATCCTTACTGAAGTTATTCTTGTGTTGTTTCGACTGAACACACTTTTCACAGACTTCACTTGGAATGTCGATTTAAGGTAATCCTGAAGCCATATTTCTTCTCTTTAGATCTCTGATGTCATTGAAGTTGAGATGATCTAGTCAAAAATTCCATAACCACTCATCTCTGTTGGCTACAGTTGTTAGGCACTTGTGCTCCATCATATTGAGTTCAATCTTGAAGGTCCTATTCAAAGACATTAGGGTCTTCAAGATCAACCTGCCACCTGCGTCGAGAAATCTCATCATCTTGTCTTTGACAACTACCTTGTAGTTCTTTTTGACAAGCTGTCCTATACTGAGCAGGTTACTTTTCATGCCTGGTATGTATAACACATTGGAAATTATTGATTTCTTGTCATCCTTCCTCATGATTTGAACATCACTAACACCTTCAGTTGCTAGAGTGTTATCATTTGCAAACTTCACTATGTTCTACACCGAGGGATTCATGTTGACAAACTAATTTTTCCTTCCAATCATGTGTGACGAGCATCCTGAGTCCAAGTACCACCAGTCCTGGAATCTTTCTTCATCTCTTGTTGTGAACATCAACAACATCTCTTTTTCTTCATGTTTCGCTAGCTTTGCATCAGTTTTTTGATTCTTCTTCTTTTTTGGACAATCACTAAAATAATAACCATACTTCTGACAATTAAAACACTGAGTGTGACTTTTGTCAGGTTTTCGACCACCACCTTTTTCTCTACCTGCAACACCACCTCTTTGGTTGCCTTGGTTCTAGGGTTTTCTCTAATTCAACCAGTTTCCTTCATGTTGACTTCGAGCAGTCGAATTGGTGTAACCTCCTCTACCTTTATTGCCATTCCAACTTCCTTTGCCTTTCCTTTCTTTTTCTGACTGCGTCTGCAAAGCCATATCACTCTCCGACTTTCCTGCAACTCTTTCAGCCATCTTTTGTTCATGAGACTCAAGCGTCCCTTGGAGCTCTTCATTTCTCAATACTAACAAGTCTTTCGACTCTTATATGGCTACTACCACGTGGTCGAATTTTGGAGCCAATGACCTCAAGATCTTTGAGACAACTGATTTTGATGTTAAACTTCTTCATATACCTTGATTTGATTCACCAACTTTGTAACTCTGGTGAAGAAATCCGTTATACTTTCATTATATTTCATCTGAAGTAATTTATAAGTCCTTTTGTGAGTTTGTAACTTCACCTCTTTCACCTTCTCTGCGCCTTCAAACACTTTTTCAAGAATCTCCCAAGCTTCTTTTGTTGATCCTACATCACTAACCTTTTCAAAGTTATCTGGATCAACACATCGATGGATTATAAAAAGAGATTTATAATCTTTCTTCTCCAATTCTTTATATGTTGCTTCCTCCTGATCTATCGTAGTTTCTACAAGCAGTGGTAATCCCTCCTTCACAAGATCCCAAAGATCTTGGTAACAGAAAATCATCTTAATCTGCTTGCACCAATTCTCATAAATATCTTTCTTGAGAATTGGAAGATTTGCTGGAAAGTGACCGTTCAGGTGATTCATCGCCATCACAGTTGTTCTTCCCTTGAATTGAAACCGGAACTCTAGATAACAGATGTTGGAATTCAACCACGATCTATGATGAATTCTTCCCAATCTTCGTCTCAATATTGTTATGTAATGACAATGAACAAATAACAAGAACGCGTTTAAAGAAGATGAATATGAATTACAGAGTAACTCTCTGCCCACAACTTTGGAATTTTATTATCACTTTGCAACTGCAAAACCGTGATTATCAAATTTGATGATTATAATAATAAGGATTCCTCCCTATTTATAAATTTAGGTTAACTTGCATCTCAAGTTAAAACCCAAAATTATAAAAGTCCAAAAATATCTAATCTAATTTTTTTAGATCAAATATGATCTTTGTAAATCAAATAAAATCTTTCTAAAACAATGAATTACATATTTAACAATATGGACCCTAGCCTATTGATACACTCTTTACATGCATGATGTATCCTTAGTTTTTTTGTCAAGTAATTTAGTGGATAGAATTCACTCTTTAAAAGTGAACAAATAGAATATTGTTGGTTCGAACTCACACCTCTACATTTGATGTCCATGTACAACAACCAACTGAAATGACTTAATAAGACTATACATCCCTAATCTTAAACACCATATATTAATAAATTTAAATAATTTCATTTAAACATATGGTTAATTTTTTATAAAGAGTAAAAATAAACAAATTGTAAAAACTTGTTAAATTATATCATGATAAAGAGTTCTAACTTGAATTAGAAATAACTAAGTTGAAATAGGAAACAGGGAGATGACATTGTTCATCATGTTAAATTTGAGATCTTAGACAAATGAAGAGAAACCCTAAAAGAATACTTTCAAGTTTTCAATTTTTTTAAGGAAATTACGTAGTTTTGTTATACCCTCACTTATTCTAGACAAATGAAGAGAAACCTTAAAAAAGTACTTTCAAGTTTTCAATTTTTTAAGGAAATTACGTAGGTTTGTTAGACCCTCACTTAAAATGTAACTTGCAGTGTTTTCTTTTTTACATTGTCTCTCATCTATCACAAAATGATATTTTTCTTTAAGATAGTTGGATTCAGTTTTAGAAAAAAAAAACTATTTTTTAATATATTTATTTTCAATATATATATATATATATATATATATATATATATATATATATATATATATATATATATATATATATATATATATATATATATATATATATATATATATATATATATATATATATATATATATATAGATATATAGAGGCATATCAAGTGAGAGAGATTTTAAAATGAGAGATGAGAGGAATAAACAACAACCATTAGATTATGATTAAACTTATTTATTAATGTGACTATTAATTTCTCTCTTATTATCTTGAATTTCATCTCTCTTATTAATTTGATCTAATAACTGGTGTTTGTTACTCTCATCTGTCATTTAAAATCACTCTTATTTGATATGCTCTCTCTCTCTCTCTCTCTCTATATATATATATATATATATATATATATATATATATATATATATATATATATATATATATATATATATATATATATATATATATATATATATATATATATATATATATAAATAAAGGTTGAAACAAATAAATCATAAACTCAACAAGAAAAACCATTTATTTATTATTTTATATGAGAAACCATTACTTCTAATGAAAAATAAGAAATAAAATAAGATATCATAAAAGAAGTAGAAAAAAAATGACTTCGAGTGATTGTTACCTTGTGCAAAGAAGAATGCCAAAGAACAAATATTCATGACAACATCGACTTTTGAACAATGAATGCAATGAACAAATAAACGCTCGGAGATAAGTTCACGCTGCCACCAGAAGAAGGAGATAGCATTGTTCATCATGTTCAATTGAAAATCAGAACAAATGAATAAAAATTCTAAAAAATATTTTTCAATTTTCAATTTTTTAAGGTAATTAGGTAATTTTGCAATGATCTCATTTAAAACTAATTTCATTTTTTTAAACATAATTTTGAAATAAGTACTCTAAAAATAAGTAAAAATAATTTTTTGATTAAAAAATAATTATTTTAAAAAAATTGAAATAAGTTGAGCCGAGATAGACTTTGTAAAGTTTAAGTCTGATCTGTCAAAAAAATTGAAGTCTAAGACTTATTTTTAAGTATGAGTCAGACTTTGTTAGTCTACATAAAAACCTGTTATTTTAAATAGATTAATAAATTAAAAAATCAATAAAACAAAAAGTTTGTTTACATTGACTTATTTTAACTTATCTATTAACATAAGTTGTTAACTTATCTATTAACATAAGTTGTGTGAGATTATTTGTTTAAAATAAATTATAAAAATAACTTATAACATTATTTATAATGTGTTTTCATCTTATTTTCACAAATTCTCTAAAATAACTAATTTTTATTTATTTATTTTGATTCAAAATACAAAACATTAACACAATAATAATAAAAACCATTCATATTTATTTAAGTAGATCGCTTTGTTAGACTTAAAATGTTTTATTTCATAACCTGGAACCTAATTTTTTTAATTAAATAGATTTATAAAATAACTTATGCATTTTTTATTTTTAAAAAACTTACCTGAACTAAATCTGAGTAAAATAGATCCGTAGATCTCTATTACCAATCTGGCCTATTTTTATCCGTACCCTATCCTCAATAAAAAATCATTTATTTATTATTCTGTTAATGAAAAAAAAAAAAACTAATAAAACATTAAAATAGTGAACTGCTCATATTTGGAATTCAACATTTCGACTACCCCCTCGCGAAACTTAACAAAAACTTACATGACAAAACCTTGATTACTCCAGTTTGAATTTGAAAACTGGGTGGGTATTTTTCACAAACACTTAGCACCCATTCGCAATCGCAGTAGCAGAAACTGGTAGTTCAACACAAACATGGCCCTTCCCAAAGTTCTCATGGTATCAACTCTCCAATTTCAACATACCTTGTTTTCGTAACCTTGTTACTAACTACTTTTCTATGCTTTTCATTTCAGGTCGCAGAGAAACCTAGCATCGCTCTCTCCATCGCCACTGCTCTTTCCCACGGCCAGGTACTCTCCTACTTTCTCGTTAGCATTTTGTTAGGAATAATTTAGTGGATTTATTGCTTTGATAGATAATCGACCTAAGATGAATAATTAAACAACTATGAGCTGAAATTGGCTGAAAAATTCAATTAAGCTGTCTAGTTGAATTTTAGAATGTCAGTGACATTTTCCAACACATTTATATGAACAGATGTCTACAAGAAGAGGAAGCACAGAAGTTCATGAATTCGACGGGAGGTTTCTTGGTGCGCCTGCACGCTTTAAAGTGACATCAGTTATTGGACATGTATTCAGGTCTTTTTCCGACTAATTCACAAAAAAATACTCGTATTTATATACTGTAGTATTTTATGATTTATTCTTGCTTCTTTTGTCATTTCTTGTTCTTTGTGTTGTGGTAGTCACACTCGATTAAATGTCAGTGACTGTGAGTACTTATAGGCGAAACAGGAAAATTTTATATTATGACATTGTTTTGTCTGTTCATGGAAGGAAAAATAGCGCACCAGTGATTATTAAATAACCCTAGTTGTTCGACACAAACATTTGTATGGATTATGGTAAAATTATAGTCATTAGATTGGAAATAACGCAAGCAGAGATTGTCGTGTTATGGACTTAATATTTTGAAAAATAAACGTCAGTTAATATTGCAATTTGCAAACCATGCTGTTTTGGTTTTTTTATTTATACCAGCATGTTCATTCCTGTTTGGTTTGAGTATTCACTGCAGTTTTTACTTCTTTTGTTGATGATCTAGTGTAGATTTTCATGGTAAATATCAAGATTGGGCTACCACAGATCCCTTAGATCTTTTTCAAGCTCAGGTTATAAAGACTGAATCAAATCCAAAGGTATTCCTTTATAAATATTTCTTTTAAGTTTTAGTTCCTCTATATCATTTCATATAATCATTTATGCATTATTTTGAGCTATTGAGGCAAGATAGATTGAACTTTTATGTGTATTTTTCAACTAAGACCCCATTTTCTGATACTTTATCTAATCAATTACAAGAAGTAAGAAGGTTAATAAAAGAGTATTTTTGTCGGTGATATGTCTCTTATGTATCTCCTATGAATGCTGAGGATTTTTTTTTTTAAAAGTCTTTTGAATATTCTAGAGGTTTGTTTGGAAAAATTGTTTCAGAACTTTTTAACATTTATTTTCTTGCTTTTTTGCGTGGTTTCTAATGGCAAATAGATAAAACACTCTATCTAAAATAGTTATGCAAATGTAGCATCTTATAAGGCGAGGATTCCCTCCACAATGACATACAAACTCATGTTCAGGCCATATCTCATCCAACATGAAACATTTTAACACACACCCCCTCACTACCTGGAATGGACATTAGAAGCGTGACCTCATAGTAGGTGGCCCAACAGATTTTGGATAAACTCTAATAACATTTTAGAATTTTGGGTTGGGCCTTACTCAACCTTACATAGGCAGTTTGTAAGGCAAGAATTGCCCCCACTTATAAACTTATGATAAATGTCATATTTCATCCAATGTAGAACTCTTAACATTACAATACTATTAATTGGTTTTCAGAAGTTCTTGGGGGGCTAATGCTAACTGCACAACTCAATGATGCACTGCTCTGTGCACACATACAAAAACAAGGATAGAGCTAATGGGTAACAAAGGTCCTTTTGACCTTTTGTGCACATAAAGCTTGATGAAAAAGTTTATAAACTATAAACATTTTGCTTTTAGAAGCAGAGTCTTAGTAGTTTTGAAAATCATTGAATTGAAACCAAGAATATCTCTATTAAAAGTTGGTCATGTTAGATGCAAGAAAACAACTAATGGGAAAATGTTAGAGAGCAGACAGATATTTAGAACTGTGACTTCTGAATCTGTATACAAACAGTATTGAGATTTATAGACTACTATAAATCTGTCAGAGTTGCAATGGATTGACGGTTGTGCTGGCTGAAAACTGCTACAATAGTATTTATTTACAACTTAGCTCCATATTACCTATGTGAATTAATACCAGCTCTAACTAATGCTAACCCAATACATGCGCTGCATTGCTCGGATTCCCTAACTGATACAATCTTATCATAATGCAACATATGTGATCATATTTGCCTTTAAATATGGACAGCACATATTCTTTAAACAATTTTGTGTTAATAATGAACCATACTTTGGATTTAAATCTACTTGATCTTTTTATTCTCTAGAGCATAGTTTACTTGGTCAAAGAAGGCACCGTTTTAAAGTTTCACTTAATCTTGACTCTTAGCAAGGATCTTTTTCATATGTTTTTTGAACTTTTGTATTATTTCTTATTTTACCACTCGGTATTTCAGTGCTGAGACTTGATGCTTGAATACTATTTTAAGTGCTTTTTTAATGGTGTTGAAAAGCCCCCACCCCCATATTTGAAAATGTTAGTCCTTTAAAGCTTGTTGCTTATAATTGAGTTTGACTGCATGTGAAGATGTGTTATCTACATTTGATTTTTTCCAGTATTTTCTCTAAGTTATTAACATCATGTGTTTCATTCAGGCACATATTTGTAAACATTTAAAACAAGAAGCTCGTGGTTGTCATTATTTGGTATTGTGGTTGGATTGTGACCGTGAAGGAGAGAATATATGTTTTGAGGGTAATTTTTGTCTTTTTTTCTTTTTAACATTCTCACTGTCATTGTTGTTATTTTTATTTATTTCTTGATACTTTTATGAGTGTAATATGTCCGTGCTTTTGTTATAGTAAATTAGTAATGCAAATTATTATTTTGATGATCTGAATTTTTTATTTGGTTTACGATTATGAGAAAACAAATTTTAGCCCTTCAAGCAAATATACTCCTAGCTGTCGGCATTCTTCACAAAATGGAAGTATAAGACAATCACCCTTAAGTTATGTCCTTTTTGCCTAGATATTCCTCTAGGTAGTAAAAAGGGATTTTTCGGCTAACATTAGCCTTGTATGCCAAATTTCATTTTGGATTTGTGAAAAGGAATTAATCTTCCCCTTATTGTCAGTGTCTTCTGTGTATGGTCTACAGTTGACCTTCTCAAAAATTAAATTTCACTTCCCTATGTAAGCACTTGACCCTGTCTTAAACTAAAATATATTGTTTTACCCAGAATCTTGCCTTTTCTTTTAGTGTTTTTTTAGCGATTTATATCAAATTTCAAAGTAAGACTAACATACTAATACTTGTCATTCCCCAATGTTTTTTTAACTATTTGAAATATTGAATGTTGCAGTTATAGAATCAACCGGTTTCAAAATAAATGATGTCTATCGCGCACGGTTTTCTTCTGTTACTGAGAAAGATGTCCTGAATGCTCTAGCCAACCTTGTCAGACCAAACAGGGACGAAGCAATGGCTGTAGATGCCAGGCAAGAGATAGATTTGAAAGTTGGAGTTGCCTTTACTCGATTTCAAACGAGTTTTTTCCAGGGGAAATATGGGAACCTAGATGCCAGAGTCATCTCGTTAGTTTTCTGCTCTCGTCTGTCTTGTATTTTCTGCTCCACCATTTTTCTAATTAGTTTTTCTTTAAATTTAAAAATTGATGAAGGTTGGCTTCTCGTTCTTTTAGATTTATCGGAAAGTAAAATAATGCAACCTATGCACAATCCAGATTAACAATGAACTGAACAAAGATTCATTACTCAATGCTTCAAATATATACCCTGCTTCGATAATAATGTCAACAAATATTAGCGAGTCAGTGTGATTTGAGTGAGGGGTTACTTAGTTTTAGGCTTGGAACTTTAGCAATCTCAAATAGTTGAGGACTTCTTAACCACATAAAGCTGCCAAGTATATTGAGATCACCAGGCTTGAGGCTTCATTTTGATTCTGCTAGTTCCAAAAAAAAATTTATTTGGACTGACCAGTTTTCGGTTCTTACAATTATACAAGTGATTTTGAGATTAGCTTTCTTTTAGCTCGAGCTTTTAGGACAATTAATAGTATGACATGGTATTCTAATTTGATCCTTTATCAGTATTTAACTCAAGTAGCTGGTAATCCCTTTGTAATAAATCAGTAACTACACATTTACTATGACCTTGAGGCTTGATGTGCTTTGTTATGTTTTCCGACATGTTTCAATTATACGTTTGGGAATTGGGATTGGTCAGGTTGCTAGGCTGGATATGCATTGCCAACCGGTAATGCAAAATGCAATATCATACTCCACCAGATTTACTGGCTTCTCAACTCTATTCAACTGTAGGAATGATCGCGTTACTCTAAATGTCTGATCAACCAACGTACTTGTAATTATATCATATTGGTTAAGCATATATGACATTATTAATAATTACTTTATATTTCAGCTATGGACCCTGTCAAACTCCAACTTTAGGATTTTGTGTGCAGCGGTATTTGCAAATAAATACTTTCAAACCAGAAAAGTTTTGGAGTTTGCACCCTTACATAATTCAAAGTGGCTATGAAATTCTGCTAGAATGGCAACGCAGCAAATTGTTTGACATAAATGTGAATACTTCTATTCTCTCAAACCATCAGTTTCTTTATTTTGAACTTACGAAAGACATATGTTTGATAGGTTTATGCCTTTTCAGGTTGCTATGATGTTTCAGAAGCTGGTTGCTGAAGATGGGATTCTGGAAGTGACTGATATATCAGAAAAACAGGAAACCAAAGGTCGCCCTGTTGGTCTAAACACAGTGAATCTTCTGAAGGTTGGTGATCAAATGGGGAAGATAGTAGTCAATTCTTGTACAAGTAATAGTAACAGTTTAAATGTTTATTAGAGGCAAAGTTCAATTATTATATATATTAAATATATCCTTCAAAGCTGGTATCGGGAATACATTTTATGGCTCAGCAAGTGGCAGTCTAAATACTTTTTTTGCAGTGACAGTTATCTTTGGTTGGGGACTAGTTATGAGTAATGTTGCTTGCAATTTTGGAGACAGCATAGGTTGTTGGGGTTTTCTTTTTCTGTTGTCAATTTCTCACTGCAATGGAGAGTGTCTTATCCATTTATATTTGATTTTTTTTTCCTTCTTGTAGTAGCATTTTAAACCCAAATATATCTTTTTCTCCTCTGATGTGATGCTAAAAATGGAATAAAGGAGTTTGACGTCATTTTCTAAGAGAATGAAAATGGTTATTGTATATCTAGCTTTCTTTTTAGTACAGCTGTTTGATAAAACAACTTGATTACAATGTTTGTTCTTTCCAGGTTGCTTCAAGTGCTCTAGGATTTGGTCCTCAGACAGCTATGCAACTAGCTGAACGATTATATACTCAAGGCTTCATCAGGTTTTCACATAATTTGGTAGTCTATTGTATTATAATGTAAGATTTTCTTAAAAGCCTGGAATAATCTTTGATTGGTTACTGTATATGCTTCTTAAGTTATCCACGAACGGAAAGCACGGCATACCCTCCGTCATTTGACTTTCGTGGTGCACTCTCTGCACAAAAAAATAATCCAACTTGGGGAAACTATGTAGAAGGGCTACTCACCAGTGGTTATCAGAAACCTCGATCGGGAACAGATGTGGGTGACCATCCTCCCATCACTCCAATGAGATCTGCATCAGAGGATATGCTAGGTAATGATGCTTGGAAGCTGTACCAATATATCTGCCAATACTTCATAGGGACAGTGTCTCCAGACTGCAAGTATGTAAGGTAAAATCTATACTGTCCCAGCAACATTTCTTGATTATTTCCTTTTCTGGTTTTGGTTCCTTCAGTTATTCCACAAATTTTCGTTGTTATCTGAGACCATCTGGTTTTTTTATACTTATTGTGGTCTCTCCTGGATCATATTTAATCATTATGATAATGGTAATGGCAAGCAATACTAAATTACTAAAACTGATGTCAAACATTCTGTACCAACTTAATAGCCCAAGATAATATCTCTTCTTACGTTCATGATATGTATGCTCCGGAACCTTTTGAAATTTCCTGAGTTTGTTCTTGTAGGACTGCTGCGAAGTTGCGTATGATAGAGGATGTGGGATGTGGCTTACCCCAATTTTTTTTGCTATTACCATACATTCATAATCATATAATTGTTTGGTATTATATTGGCATATTATTTGCATTTTTCCATCCAAGCTTATGTTTTGTTTGAACCTTTGCAAATATTCACCTGTAGATGCTTTTGTCTTATTGCATGAATGGGATAACTACTAATATTAGATTTCTTATATGCTATTGTCCTACTTCCAGGAAAAAGGTTGAGTTTTCAGTTGGTGGAGAGTCCTTTCATTGTACAGGGCAGCATGTTATCACCAAAGGATTTACAGCAATTATGCCTTGGTTGGCAATAAATGATAAAAGTATTCCATCATTTACAAAAGGGCAGAAAATAAAAGTATCAAAAGTTGAGCTCTATGAAGTAAGTGGGAACCTCCTGCCTCAAATTTGTTTCAGTAGTGTCTGGATATGTCCCGACTACTTGTTAATTTTACTAACTTGGGGGCTTTGTGGCGTTTTCGGGTAAGCCATCAGGGGGTCTGTTCACGGGTCATTAAATGGATTCAAATATAATAAATGTTTGGGTTGGATCATATATAACCATTTCATGGATGATAGAATGATAAACCTCATGTCACATAATATTTGTATGTATTACTGATAGCTAACACCACAAATTCAACAGGGGAATACCACACCTCCAGATTTTCTTACAGAGAGTGAGCTGATCTCTCTGATGGAGAAGAATGGAATAGGAACAGATGCATCAATTCCTGTACATATTAACAATATATGTGAGCGGAATTATGTGCAGGTAGTCGACATAGAGCTGTAGTTTGTGTTTCATTTTCTACAATGCTTGGATATTCATCTTATCAAATTGCAGGTACAAGCAGGCAGGAAGCTTGTCCCAACCACATTAGGTATAACTTTAGTAAGAGGTTATCAATCAATTGATCCAGACCTCTGCCTGCCCGATATCCGTAGCTTTATTGAGCAACAAATAACTCTTATTGCTAAGGGCCAGGTAGATCATCATCGTGTGGTGCAGCATGTGATTGAACAGTTCAAGCAAAAGTTTTGTTACTTTGTCAAGAAGGTTGACTATCTACTTTTTAGTGCTTGTTTTTGGTCATCATGTGTATCTATACAATTCCTCTTAGTTTTAACAGCATGACAAGTTTTCATTTGTTATTTTATTTCAACTAAATAATGTTTCTCGATTTAAGTTTGAACTTGTTTGATTAAAAATTTAAAATGATTTCATGTTCATGTTTTCAGTTAGATAGGAATAATTGGATTAGGCGATGCTTTAAATATGTTCCCGTTATCTATTATTTTCCTGGTTTGTTTCCATTACTTTTTATTTTTGACATCTGCCTTTCTGTCAAACTTTTTTATTTATAAATTTATGGAGCTTACTTTGTAAGTTAGTATTTATTATAACGCAACTCCAATTTTTTTCAGCATGATAAATAAATTTCTATTTTTTTCAAACCACATAAAGTATAATTGCATTATTGATTTTGAACTTTTTGTGGAAAATTTCCAAACATGACTCATTTTAAAATAGCCTTTCAAGTTTCTCTATAAAATTGTATCTGTTCGAACAGGGGTCAAAGATATACATTCTTAGAATACAAGTACTGATTCAACAGCATAGTACTTGAAGATTCATGTTTAATTAATTCATTACATTAGGATCTATGCCAAAACATAGGACACCGACACCGTTTCATATATGATAGAATTGAGCTTCATTAATCCATCTACTATTTAAAAAGTTTAAAATATTCTAATCAAAATTCATGTGTTCAATTATTCATTGATAACATTGTTTAAATACGTGTTTAACTCATTTACATATGTGTGCAATTTGACTAAAAAATGTGTAAAGTATGTTGAAGTAAAGAAAAGAACAATTTTTTAAGAACACTTGTCTATCTTAATTGTCCGACACGTCTTGTATGGGTGTCATACAGGGGAGACTTGTCTGACTTTTTCGACACTTGTTTGACTTTTCTGACACGTGTCGTACGGATGTCATACAAGTGTTTTCCGATGTGTGTTGGACACCGCGACACGCCTACTCCTAGAGGTTACCGTGCTTCATATATTAGGATAGCAGAATAGTTGTTATATTTTACTCTTAAGTTTTGAAAGAATACTACTGTAGAATTATATGGATCCAGGAGATTGCTGAACAAACTTTTTAGCATTTATCTGTGAGCTGCTGCATGTTGGATTTATTTAATCATGAGATGTTCCGTAGCTTCCTTCTATATTCTTTCATTTCCAAAGTTAGTAAACCCCGAGTCACCATGATATTTGCAAATAAGTTGCTGATTCATGGATGTATTCTACACTGTTCATCTACTAATTGTGTTTCTTTTTATCTGGCTCAGATTGAAGCCATGGATGCATTATTTGAAGCACAGTTTTCTGCACTTGTTGATTCAGGGCGTATTATGAGTAAATGTGGTAGATGCTTGCGATATATGAAGTATATTTCTACCCAGCCACCACGTTTGTATTGTGGTACATGTGAGGAAGTTTATTATCTTCCACAGAAGGGCACAATAAAGGTATCAAATTCTGATTTCCAGCTTATTCTGTCTTTTCCTCTTTGTTTCTTCTTAGCATACATGATTGATATTTTAAAGTGTCAAAATTTATGCTTTTTTTTGGATAAAGAATGAAGGAGTAGAAAGTATAACAGATTTGAATTATGGTTTGTTGCAAAAGATTAGCCACTAACCCTTATTTATATTAATATACTCTTAATTCTAATTAGATAAGGAAGCTAATCATAATGATTACTAGACTCCTAGTTCTGATAAAATAAAGAAAGTCGAAACAAGTCATGGAATATAAATAAATATGAAAACTAATCCTAAGAGATAAATAAAATATTAACACTATGTTTACACATAGTTCTGAACAATAAGCCTGCTGTTTTCACCTGTTGTCCGTGGTAAAACAGTCCACTTGTTGTAAACTGTGAATGCTTTCTATAAAAAAAAAATATTATGACCAGTTGTGTTCCGTAGTCTTCCTTTTTCTTCCCTCTCTTTCTGATATCCTCTCTTTGAATGGTTTCGATCAAAAGTAAAGATATATGCTCTCTTTCTGTTTATAATTTGTCTCTCACATTCTGGTCTCCTCTCTCCGCAATAGAGTATAAGTGTACTCTATCTCTTGTACTGCTCTGTTTATGCCTAACTTCCTTTCAACCATCTGTGCCTCTGGCCTTGAAAAGAATATAGTACAAAACCCTGATAAAGCACTCGAAACCCTGATATAGTACAAAACCCTGATCTGCACGTATATTGTCACTTCAGAAGGCCATTAGAATTTGCCATTTCATCATCAGAATCTTTGTTATAGCTTTTAAACTTTAGATCTCTCCCTTAGAGTAATTGCATTGAACAGCCGGGCCCTGTCAGTGACTTAAGATTGTTATGACCATCATTACATGTATGTACTAGCACATACCAGTGACTTCTCTGGTTTGTCTGGTTTGCCAGGCATGACCTAGAGGGCTTGCACACCTTTCCATCATTCATTCCTTTCTAGCTTTGGCTGAACACTTGAGCATTTATTTGCTTTACTACTTGGGATACCCTCACAGAAGGTATGGAACGAAAGTATGAATGAAAATGTATTAGGTATCTGTAATTTGAGGTCTAAGAACTTTGCTCCCGCGGGTTAATAATGCCCGATTAGCAACATTACTTTGGAAGGTTAAAAGTGTTTGGGAGGGAATCGTGGCATCTTCTCATTTGATATTCAACATTTTTGTTATGCATTTGAGTTTGCCTTTATTGCTTTATTATATTGTGTGACATGTGTCCAATATCTGTTATCCTCATTTGCACTATCTGTTTCTGCAGCTGTACAAGGAACTGTCTTGTCCTTTAGACAATTTTGAGCTTTTGATCTGCTCCGTGGCTGGGCCAGAGGGTAAATCATTCCCACTATGTCCTTACTGCTACAGCAATCCCCCATTTGAAGGTATCGAATCACTCATCAATACGGCTAAAACTAGTACTGCTGGCAAGGTTGGCAAGGGTGCTGGCATGCCATGCAACCTATGCCCCCACCCCACTTGCCCAAATTCTTTAGTTACCCAGGGTGTATGTGCTTGCCCAGAGTGCAGTGGGACACTTGTCTTAGACCCCATAAGTGCTCCCAAATGGCGACTTTGTTGCAATATGTGCAATTGCCTAGTTTTTCTTGCAGAGGGTGCTCATAGAATCTCGGCTACTAAAGAAAGGTGCCTTGAATGCGACTCTTCAATCATAGAAGTGGACTTCAACAAGAAAACAACTCCTCTGGCAGATGGGTCTACGTTGCACCGGGGTTGCATTCTTTGTGATGTATTACTACATTCCCTTGTAGAGATGAAACATGGGAGAGGCTTCAAGCGCATGAGTTCACGTGGAAGAGGGAGAGGAAGGGGAGGAAGAGGAAGAGGACGGGGTGGTAAAATGATGGATCCGAAAATGAGTTTTCGAGATTTCTAGCTTAAAAACTTATGTTTTTGAAATTTTTTGCAACACGTTTATTGAACTATAATCTATCATTTGATTCATTTACTTATTGTTCAGTTACTATGAATTCGTTCTTAGCATAGTTATCTTCTTTTTTGTCTGGGCTCCAGTTATTTCAAGAACAAATAGCAAATGAAAATTTTCAAATTTATGTTTTTTCTAAGGGTATTATGTTTTTTAGTGGGATTGGGGATTGTCTGTTGTAACAAAGATTGCTGTACGAACTCAACATTTGAGATAAAATAGTCATGATCTGTTACAACAGCAGAAAATCTAAATCCTCCCTACAAAATTATAATCTTTTAAGTTCAGCTCTCAATAAAATTTATTCACTTTAGTCTATATTTTATAGGGACTATTTTGTGGATTAAAAGTATTTATTTTTTGTTTTTGAAAAAATAAAATATAGATCATTCCTATTAAAATTTCAATTAAAATTTAGTAAGAACTAAATTTAAAAACTTATTTTCTTTTAAGGCTTTTGCACACAGATTAAGAAATGAAATAATTTTGTCACAGAACATTATATTTTTATTAAATTAACCCTATTAATGTTTGAAAGTAATGTAAAAAGTATTAATGGACAAATTCGAAAAATAACAATTATTTTTAATATAGTTATTTTAATACAAGTTTTATTCGTTAAAATTATAATAATTTTGAAATGAAGGAAGGATAGTTTTATAGGGAATCAGAATCCATTTAACTCTTCTAATCTCATAAATTACAACTCTATAATATATTTTTAAAATCATTATTTTTTTATAAAGATACATAAAGATAGTTTTAAAATCATTATTTTTGTATAAAAGATACATAAGAAAATTTCTTCCCAAGGAACTTAATAATTACAAATTTTTAAATATATATTCTTAATAATATTCTCTCAAATGAAACTTTTTATTTTACTCTATCTTTTAGTTGTTGATATTTTTGACAAAAAAAGTTATTGAAATTTTTTATGGAGTATCCTAACAACTATTTGAAGACATTGATTAAAAGATATAAATATCTACTGTACTTAATGAAATAAAACATTTATAAGTATAAGCTTCAATATAATAATAAAAAACAATTCGAATAATTTTTTTTGTAAGTTGATGCTTATTAACACGAGTAGTTTAATTAGTATTGTTGATGAGTTTGAAATGACATATTTAACTTGTCTCTGCGTATATCCATAGAAAACAAACAAACGATACAACAAAGTGGGAAACGTAAGTAACATGACTCTCACAGGCGAAGTATGTGATTCATTTGTCTTATTCATCCTCACCATCCACTCAAGAATATTCTTACATCCCAATATTTTATTTTATTTATTTATCACTAATAATTAGTACTAATAATTTACAAAACACTGTTAAAATAATGATTAAATTATAATAATCACATTATTACAACCCACATCCACAACCACAACCACAACATAACTGCTTTTCTTTTCTTCCCCACACTTTCCACTATCCCCAATTTTCCATTCCAATGGCTCTGTGTAGTTCTTCTATATCTTCACACAACTTCAGTTCGCAAACTGGGGCAAGAAACCTATCAAAATTGTCTTCTTTTTCTATGAATTCAGATTCCACTATTTCGTTATCGTTTTCTGGGAGTGTTTCCATGGGTATGAACTTGAGGTTGAATCTCACTTCTTCAACTTGTACTGTTAAGCGAAACAACTTTAGGAACCATGGTTCTCGTTTGAAGGTAGTTTGCATTGATTATCCACGCCCCGAGCTTGAAAATACCGTTAATTTCGTTGAAGCTGCTTACTTGTCTTCCACCTTTCGTGCTTCCCCTCGCCCAACTAAACCTTTGAAGGTTGTTATTGCTGGTGCAGGTAACAAATCAAAATTGTAACTTTTCTACCAAACTTGCATGATTTTTGACGCTTTTTTTTCTTTTCTTTTGGATTAATGTGTATTTCAAATTATCCCAGGACTGGCTGGTTTGTCGACTGCAAAATATTTGGCAGATGCTGGTCACAAGCCTATATTGCTGGAGGCAAGAGACGTTCTAGGTGGAAAGGTTTTCCGGCTAATTGAATCCCATTTGTTAACAAGTTTCTATTTTGTGCCTCTTGTTTACATCATTTTAGCTTTCTGTTTAATTAAATAAGAAGCTTGTTCTTATTTGACTGTTGCTAAATAATCTAATCGTTGCGTTGGTTTTTGTATTATTATCAATATTTTAAGTATGATCACGAATTCAAGTTCTTGTTTTATGAATTAGTTTTCTGACATCTATTTTTACATGTTTTCGTTCTATTGTCTCTTTTCTAAGGTTGCTGCATGGAAAGATGAAGATGGAGACTGGTATGAGACTGGCCTACATATATTTTGTAAGTTCATTACAATCTCAAGCTCAACTTTTTCTATTACATATGTGTCAATTTAATAATAATAATAATAATATGCCTCTAAGATACCATAAGAAAGAAAGTAAAGAGATAAAAAGAAAATGACACAACAAAACATTCTTTCATTTCTTTGACCTTCTTCTAGAGTATGCTCTCGATAGTTTTGGTCTTTGACACAATACCTACCAAGTTCAAGCCTTTTTCCTTTATGGCGAAATGGTTTAGGATTTTGATCCTTGCTGCCTCACACGTCTAATTACGAACTAAATTTCAGAAAGAAGGCATGGGTTAGCCTGGACTTTGTCCAAGCTTCAATCTCAAAGGGCTTTTGCATGAGTGTAAAAGTTGGTCTTCTCCCTAACAGTGCTTTTTACCAGTTATCTCTTGGCACATGTATTGAACTAAATTGATATTTCTTTTTAGTTTTTCATTCAAAATGAATAACTATTTGAATCCTTGTTTATAATTATCCTGACTTAACATTTCCTTTTTCTTTTTCCCGAAGTTGGGGCTTACCCTAATGTGCAGAATTTATTTGGAGAACTCGGTATTAATGATCGATTACAATGGAAGGAACATGCTATGATCTTTGCTATGCCAAGCAAGCCTGGACAGTTTAGTCGATTTGATTTTCTTGAAGTCCTTCCATCTCCATTAAATGGTAAGATGTAAGACTTGTTGTATGTTTACATATTTACATAGCTACCCGAAGTTGAAAGTCTATTTAATACATTAGTGTTAGCAATACACTCTCTAACACACGCACATTCCAACATACCTTCTCCTATTAGTTAAAATTTATATGGGTCCCACCAAATTTACAAGAGACCCACATATCTGCCGCAAAATGTATGGCACATTATTACTATCTGGATATTTTTGTGCTTATGCCATGCTAGTGTTTAAAAACTTGAATTCAGATTAAGAAAGAACCCTTGTAGTTTTACAACCGAGTGCAGGTTCAAATTTGATTTTGAATATATTTAATGCATTTTTTAGCTATAGGGTTAGTCTTTTAGTATGAAGGAAGGAAAAAGAATACATTAATATGATACGCTACATAAAACTTGTAGTACGGATAAATTGCTCTACGGTATATGATCAAGATATTACAATAAGTCTTTTTCATATATTCTAACACATTTGATTGATAATCATTGATTTGAAACCATATGCGTTAAATTGGTTATATTCATGTTAATCAAATCGAAAACACCAATGTGGGGATCAGGGATTTTGGTGTTTAAAAGTGATTCCTATATTCATTGTCTCTTATTTTACTTATTTTTCCGTTTTTACATATCAGTGTTTACAAGCTGCTTGTTGCGAATGTTATAACAGGAATATGGGCAATCTTGAGGAATAACGAGATGCTGACCTGGCCAGAGAAAATCAAATTTGCAATTGGACTTCTGCCAGCTATTCTTGGTGGACAGGCGTATGTTGAAGCTCAAGATGGTGTTTCTGTTAAAGAATGGATGAGAAAGCAGGTATGGCAGTTGTCTTGACTCTTGTCAGTCTGTAAATGGAGTGGAGTCTTAACCATCTTAGTAATACTGATATTTATTCTGAAATTTGTTGATTTAGGATGGGTTTACAGCGACTTGGTGGTGAAAATAAAGATTCTTTTTATCATTAAAATTCAAATTGTCTCAGATGAAGCTCTATATAGTTTGTTTTCATGCTACTTATAACTATCAACTTGAAACCAAACTATGATATTATAATGAACTAAAAGATCTATATGTAAGTATGTAACAACACTGGGAATGAATGGGTCGACAACTCATTTGGAAAGTGCACACCTAATTGTAGATGAGAGGTGTACCTACTGTAATTCTTATATTCCTTCAAACACTCGTGTGCTGTCTTTTGCTCCAAAATAAAATACAGAGACAAGAAGTTCATATTCCATAATATATCATAAAACATTTCTAACCCTTCATAGACATTATGGTGGTATTTTTTGCATTGATTCTTTTTGTATGAAAGTTCTTGTTAAATAAATTGTCATTAATAGATGGCTTTGTTCCCCTTGTTGTATTTTCCCTGTTTCTCTATACCGAAATTTCCTGGTTTATTGTTTACTCCACCCCCTCCCAAAAATACAGAAAATTCTTTTATTTTGTTTTATCTCTTAATTTAGTGACGGCAGTCCTAGTATTTTTATTACTGGGAATTATAGAAAGGATATCTGTAGTTTTTATTTTTTGGTTTTATTACATTATTATTTTGAGAATAAATTGCATTTGCCTTTGGTTGAATTCACGTGAACAGATTGCAACATTTTCATGGTTGACATATTGTAAATAGTTTGAGAATAACATATTGTTTACTCCATGTTATAGGGCATTCCTGAACGGGTAACTGATGAAGTGTTCATAGCAATGTCAAAGGCTCTAAACTTCATCAACCCTGATGAACTTTCAATGCAATGTATTTTGATTGCATTAAACCGATTTCTTCAGGTGGGATAATTTCCTTTTCTTAAAAATCATTCTAACTGCATAAGTGTTTGATGAAGAAGGCCATTTCATTCGCATTATATTTGAATGGAATCAGATTAGCAACGAACTCATTCTTCTCAACTAATTTTTATACTATCAAATTCTTCAATAGGAGAAGCATGGTTCTAAGATGGCCTTTTTGGACGGCAATCCCCCGGAAAGACTTTGTATGCCAATTGTTGATCATATTCAGTCATTGGGTGGTGAAGTCCATCTTAATTCACGCATTAAATCAATTGAGCTAAACGATGACAGTACAGTGAAGAGCTTTTTACTAACTAATGGGAAAGTGATTGAAGGGGATGCTTATGTGAGTGCAGCACCAGGTATGTTTATAAAACTTCCACACTAATCATTATTTTTTTATCTCTTCACATTTTTGAGGATTTCCCCCTTTAAAACAGTGGATATTCTGAAGCTTCTTCTGCCTGAGAACTGGAAAGGGGTACCTTATTTCCAGAGATTGGAGAAATTAGTCGGAGTTCCAGTCATAAATGTTCACATATGGTAAGTAATGGCTTTTGGTGTTGAAAACTAAATCCGAGCAAACATTATACTCCAATTTTTTTATTAAATAATCACTGGCACTAACTGGTGCAGTAATATACTTCTGTTATTGTTAAAAAAAATCCTCTCAGTATATTGACCATTTCTTCTCCAAATTCAGAATAACAACAAAGTTAGTTTGTAAATACTTGTCAATGAGGATTATGTTATCAGCTCTGCACCCACCAGTGTGTGCACCCACCAGTGTGTTGACATACATACTATTTACATATCAAATTTGCAGGTTTGACAGAAAACTGAAGAACACATATGATCACCTTCTCTTTAGCAGGTTTTTTCTCTCACTTTGAAACACTTGTGATGTCTGGAAGGGATACAGAGTAGAGGTTTTTTTCAGTTGTGTTGTGTCGCACTTATCTGAGATTTTTACTTTTTATCTGTGAAGATTGCTTCCTTTTTGCTGTCTGAATTGTACTTCTTTGTACTCCTAATAGCACTTTTTGGATTATAAATACATCATTTCATCACCTCACATCTACAATTTATACTTTTCATCATGCAGAAGCCCCCTTCTGAGTGTATATGCTGACATGTCAGTAACTTGTAAGGTAAAAGCCACCACTCAAATGTATTGATTAGCATTGATGTATTTTCTCTGCAACCGAGTTTCTTTTGCATATCACTAAATGTTGGAATACTGTTGCACTATCTTATTTAGGAATATTATAACCCAAACCAGTCTATGTTGGAGCTAGTTTTTGCACCAGCCGAAGAATGGATTTCACGCAGTGATGAAGATATTATTGGGGCTACAATGTCTGAACTTGCCAAACTCTTCCCTGATGAAATTTCTGCGGACCAAAGCAAAGCAAAAATCATCAAGTACCACATTGTTAAAACACCAAGGTCATTGAATGTCATCGAGTTGGAATTTCTCTTTTAAATTATTTTTCCAAACATACAATGAACTTGCGTCCTTTTTAGTATTATTCTGTGTCCTAATTTAAATGACTAAATTGTTTCAGGTCGGTTTACAAAACTGTTCCGAATTGTGAGCCTTGCCGTCCCATACAAAGATCTCCTATAGAAGGTTTCTATTTATCAGGAGATTACACAAAACAAAAATATTTAGCTTCCATGGAAGGTGCTGTTCTTTCTGGGAAGCTTTGTGCACAGGCTATTGTACAGGTAAATCCGTCACGAAAACATCTACGTTATTTGCAGCACATGGATAAAAGATTCATCCGCAAGAAATGCTAAATTTTGAACACTGTTGAAATTATAATTTGGTCTATCATTATCAACTTCTGCTTGTCTTGATTTCAATGTTTTTCCTATCATTATCTATTTCATTTCCGTATGCAGGATTCCGAGCTACTTACTGCTCGGAGCCAGAAAAGAATAGCTCAAGCAAGTAGTGTTTAACAAAAACAAAATTTGAAGAAAAATTCTGGTAAACAGTACATGAGCATCATATAAACTTTGTAGTCTTGAGTGACTGATAACTAGCTTATCCGCAAAATGATTCACTATATCAGTTCATACGAAACCCGGCAAATATTTAGACCATAATATGTTGCAGTCAACTTTAGAGAAAGCCAATATGCGCATATATAAGTTGGCCAATACCTGAAATGTGAGCCCTTTATTATCTTTGTCCTCCAGTCGTTGTAGCCATGCTTGTAATATCATGTCACATTTTTTATTGAATCTTGCATTGTATACCGCCATTTTCTTTTAAATTTATGCACTGTCCTGTCTTGTTGTATATTGATATCAACCAAGTCAAAAAATTTCAAAAACCTCTTGGCGAGTATCAAAATATTTCCCACAAGAACACATCTAGAGCGAATAAACTATAACTCCAATAATTCTTATTGAGAAATTGCTCTTAACTGAAGCAGCTAGTTGTTCTTCAATTCACCTGTACACAAGCTTAAATCAGAAATGTTACCTTTGTAAAACAATAAAAATAGAAGTGTTTCCAAAGAAGAAATAATAAATAAAAGAGTTGAACTTGTTTGAAAACAAGGATTTTGTGAAAAAATATGCAAGTTGTTTTTGTGAAGAGATTGGAAGTATTCTTAGCATTCATTGTTGACAATTTCAAAGTTTTGTCTCTCATGGAAAATAGGATTAGATGCTATATGAAGTGCACTTTAATTATCTTAATATAAAATCAATGACTTGGAGCATGAAATGTGTGAATTCCTCAAAAGATATAGAAGCCAAACCATTTCATAAGTGTATGTGCCTAGTAATATATATTAAGTTTTAGAAGAACTTCTAAATATTTTTTTTGTTGTTTTTTTGCTTTGTAAGAAATAAGAGATTATCTTCTGAAGAAGCAATAACTTGATGTTGATTTGTTTGTGTCAATGCATCCAACTCAATCTGCATATGAGTAGCTTATAATTTGAAGGGTTGAGAATCTAGGATACAACATATCACAACCAGGGTCGTGCTTCAAATATCTAATAATTCTGCAAGCTACTTGATAGTGCACTTGTATTTGGTCTTTTAATGTTCAAGTATATTATTCTTCCAATCAGTATTTCATATGCATTGGTATCTTTAAATGGTTTACTTCCATCTTGATGCAACTTTATTGATGGATCCATGGGTGTTGCAACAGGCTTTGATGCATTTCTTGTATCATTCAATAGATCCAGACAATACTCTTTGTGAGACAATATATTCTTTTAGTGTGACACCTCAAGTTCAAGAAAATATTTCAAAATTCTTAAATATTTAATTTTAAAATTATTGTCTAGAATATGCTCTTTACGATCAAACTCAAGTAGATAGGTGTAGTGTATTGATAAAAACAGGGTTAATATAGAGGAAATGATACTATAAAAACTGTTATTAAAATCAATGCAATAGTACAATTTTAAATGAGCAATATGGCTAAGCCATTTGCAGTAATAGTACAGAGGAATATAATGAAAGATAGAAAAGCATAGAAGCTTGGAGATAGAAGAGAGTCAGGTTTTCCACCACTAAATTCCCCCCTCATCATTGCCAATGATTGATCTATTTAACAAAGTGCTCAGTGTATTTTCTGTTAGGGATCTTGGGTCTCATTCCACGTCTTGACTCCTCACAATAGAGATCAATTGCCATCTGTCTTTTCTCATCATGTGACTTATTTACTGCAGTGACTCTTTTGTCCCTCTCATTCATAACAAGAGGATCCTATTAGTATAATGTGATCAACATATACTAGTAAAATAATATGTAATCTCTTTTAAGACTAAACATTGAGTAATCTGAATTAGATTGAGGATATCCAATCTTTAAAAGTAGAGAAATGAGTTTCTCTACCACTTTCTACTAGCCTATTTCAAACCATACAAACTCTTCACTAATTTTCATACTTTATTTAGTTTGACACATGTAATTTTTTAAGGTACATACTATTAGAATAAAATATTCTACTGTTTTGTCTTATTCTATTGTTTGTCTTATTCTCTTATTGTGTGTTATTTGTTTGTTAGGGCACAGCTGTAAGTTTGTTAGTGAGTTGTGCCATCTGTGATAACAAACTATCCCAGCTATATATAGCTACTGATTGTATTCTATTTTGCTAAGAATGAAATACAAATCAAATTCTTCTCTCTCCTTCTAGTATCTTAACATGGTATCTTGAGCCTTTTTCTTTCCCGTGCTCCCATGGCTTCTCCTTTCAATTTTTAGGGTGTTTTTCCCTCTTCTCACATCAAACTCTCTCACCTCATCTCTGTCAAGCTTGATGAAAGAAACTTCAAGCAATGGAAATAGCAGATTGAGGGTGTGATTCGCGGCCACAAACTGCAACGGTTTGTTACGACGCCGCTTGTTCCTCCGCGCTTCCTTCCTGGCGCAGATCCGGTCACCGGTGGTGCGAATCCCTTGTATCTTGACTGGGAACAGCAAGATGCGCTTATCTGTACTTGGCTCCTCTCCACTACCTCTGACTCCATTCTTTCGAAACTCGTTGATTGCACGTACTCATGGCAAGTGTGGTCTGAAGTTCAACGTTACTTCAACACCTGGCTCACTACCAAGGCGCGTCAACTTCGATCGGAGCTCCGAAATCTCACCAAAGGTTCGCGCACGATAACAGAATTCATGATTCGCGTTCGTGACATCAACGAATCTCTGGTATCTATTGGCGACCCTGTTCCTCAGCGGAATCTCATTGAAATCGTTCTTGATGCTCTTCCTGAAGAGTATGATCCTATTGTTGCTGCGATGAACAACAAAGAGGATCTCAGTACGATTGAAGAGCTTGAATCGAGTCTCCTTGTTCATGAATCGCGTCTGGAGAAGAATCGTAAGGTTGTTGTCACTGAACCTGTTTCAGTGAATCTTGCTCAAGCACCACCATCTTCTCAATCTTTCTCTACTGATGCTTCTGGTGTAGATACTGCCTCAACCTTTCTGGTTGGTACTAGCCATGTTAACTCCACTGCTGACAATCATGGTTATGGCTTTCGTGGTGGTAGGTCTGGTCGTGGCGGTGGAAGATTTGGACGTGGAGGTGGCAGATCTGGTAAAGTTTCTTGTCAAATCTGCCACAAACCTGGTCATGATGCATCAATATGTTATCATAGGTACTCATCTTCAGGTGCTCCGTGTAACACCCTTTTTCTACCCAAAAATATCAAGGCAAAATAACACAGAAATCAGAGTGAATAAATAAATCTCATTAAAAAGCCACTAAAAGGGCGTACATTTCTCAAAGTCATCAAAATAGGTTCATACTCCGTAACTCTAGGTTTTTCCCAAATTACATCAAAACATCATAAACAACGGAACTCAAAACATAAATCAAAGTTTTCCTCAAAAAGGGAAATTAATCCAAATAACGTCAACATTATAAAAGCAACTTAAGAAACCCAATCCGATGTTACATATCAGAGCAAGACCCTCTAGCTGACCAAAAGACTAAAACACTCAAAAACTTCAAAACTAACTCCTCGCTGGCGTCCACGGCTAAACTGGATCATCTGCACGTTACCCACGTAGAGGTAACATTCAAACAGGCAGGGTGAGTAAAACAATTCATAATAATCAATGTATAATAATTAATGCATAAACGACATCATAATTATATCCAACACATTCATATTACTTAAATAGTCTCAAAGGACACAACGTCATAATTTATACAAAAGACTCATAAATGCAATGAAACACAACTCAATGCATGTGGTACCAATCATCACAATGCGATGGACATTGAGCCATCAATCCTCCATAGATCCCCATTAATAGGATCGATTGTACTAGAGAACCGGAGCACATCAAAATACTTCACATCCGCACAGTGGGATTGAATCCAAAGTAATCGAGGTCCTGAACCGAAGTCCGGATGCACATGAATGCATGATGCACACGTCACAATAATAATCCTCACAATACAGCATATGGTTCATCATCATTCATCATACTCATCATCATCACATAAAATCATCATATCTCATGTTATCACATAGTTCATCAAATCATGGTAATTTCATCATATTAACTCAATCGATACATCATAGGAAACTATCATAACATCATGTACACATCACCTAAAACCCACTGTTATACTCGGGGTAATCCATCCCAGAAATCCCAGAATTAAACATCAAGGCATCGCTGCAAAACGATCAAATTTCGCGAACTCTGCTACATTCGCTGGCTTGCTCTCTAGGCGATTCGGTAGCGAGTCTTCATTGGCTTGCTCGCTAGGCGAGTCTGTGGCGAGTCTTCGCTGGCGTGCTCGCTAGGTGAACAGAGCGATGACAGCAAAAACCTGTTACGACCAGAACTGATTCTTGTCCAAATACTCATACGATTTACTTACCTAATGCCCCCAAAACATCCCTAAAACATCCCTACGGTCATACAACGATAACGACACAAAATTTATGGTTTGTTAGGCCAATCTGGCAACATTCGCACTGCCTAAATCACTATTTCTTGCAATTGCTCTGAGTGCATCAGAGTTACTCACATTTGAACATTCATATTCCTACAGGGTCAAACATATAACGATCCAAGGTTTTGGCCACGAAGGCTAAGGTTTCCATTCTCATATCAATATTCAGTGTTACATACCATTACCCCTAACCTCAAAGCCTTATCATCAAATTTCCTATTTTCCCACAACCAACCCAAAATACCTTAAATCATAAATCAACAATAAACGCATCTAAAAGTATACATAGAAAATCATGAACAATGATACTCCCCATACCTTAGTCGATTCGCAGCTTTCACGATTAACTTCGGAATCTTCTGCCTCCAACCTTTCCTTTAGAGCTTTGGCCACCAAACTTTCACGGTTAACACAAAAATGAATTCAAATTCCCCTTCAGAACTCAATTTTGTCTAACCTAGTCTTGAGCCTCACAAATTGGGCTTTTCCCTCATTACCCTTACTAACTCTG